AGCTAGCAATTTCACAAAATCATACGAATTTTTAACTGAATATAGCCAATAATCGAGATCGGGCTGCTACCACATTATTTGTTCATGTGGTGGTGAGACATGCCGACCTATTAGACAAAGATTGGTAGAACACAAAAAGGTAGCTGGTTCCAACGGTCAGAAGTAGCCGAGCACATGTTAGAAACTGGACATTAAATGGAATGGTCTAAAACTAGTAGGTTTGATGATTATGGTACGTCTGTGATTAAAAGAAAGTGAAGAGAGGCTATTGAAATTAATAGCTTAAGAAATAAGTTGAATGTGAGCAACGGTGTTAGAAAGTAGAGTTAGAACCACTTATGCTAGATTGATAGATTGAAAGAGAGAGAGAGAGAGTGTGTTGAGCCGCCGTCAAAAATAAGGCTCGGTGATGGTTCTAACTTCACTCACATTCGTCCAACACGTTAGAGTAAGCTCACCAACCAAACCAGACTTACCAGATTATACAGCCCTAGTCATGCCTTTCCAAGTGGGGGTTGATCGTTAATGACTCTAGACTGAGAGGTTAGGACAAGTGGTTTCGTAGCTTAACTTGCATGCTTACAAACTTACATATAATTATCTCAACCATACTTGCCCACGGGCTTACGCAATCTCGGTCAAGGCTTTCTTTGAGGTCATTAGGCCTTGATGATCAGAGGCTAACATTAACCTTTTGCTAACTCTAATTTAGGACCGGTATTGCGTATAGATGCTAACAAACACACACACATACACACAAACACACACATACACTCGAGCAAAAGTAGCAGGACCAGTATGAAAGATAATTAGCCAAACCACTCATAATCGATCTAAGCTTTTAATTTTATTTTAGATTAACTGAGTCTATATAAGAGGTAAGACAAAGCCGGAGAGTCTTCTTGGCTTAGTGTTAATGTTTGACTTTTATAAGAATGAAGCCCAGCTCTGATGATGTCCATCATATGATGGACGAAAGCTCATCACGTTTTCACCCGAAACGAGGGAGGAAGTCTTGTGGACTGCATCAACATGAATATGGTATAAAAGCCAAACGGCTGCAGTACAATGAGTTTCATCCGTCCTCATCTGGTGTGATCGAGCAACGAATTTCTTCTTCATGCACTTTCATTCGAAATGAAGGTCCCTCTAACAAAGTCGCTAGTAAACATTAGGTTGATATATGCAGTATCTTGCTTAAACTGATCGCAATTATTGACTCTAATTATTCCGGATCCGAGCTTTCTATCTCTAAATAACGTCCTTCTAAGGCGGAAGGTTCCATCCCTAAATAAGGAAGATTTGGCGGCTTCCAATAGCCACGAACTACCAGGTTTTCTGAAGTCTCATTATCTATCCTTTAGCCTCTTCTTTAAAGAACTTTTCGATTAAAAGTTATATTGGAGACATACAAACGTAGTAATGATTATGTTACAGAAAGTTTCAGATATTCACTCCAGTTTTTTAGGTCTTTATTCCAGGAAGTAAAGCAGACGCTGTCGTTTAGTCAAGCCTTCCAGAGGTTTGAAATACCTGCTGCAAGATTTAGTAGCTGATGTAATTTTTTGAGGAAGTTTTGCGTCTTTTGCTATTTTTTCATATTTCTATGATTTAAAACAATCCTAGATTACTGAAAAATAGAGAAATTCTCTCACCAAATCTCTATTCCCTGCCTTACAATGAAGCCAAATAAAGTTTTTATTAAAATCTCGTGTCTGAATCACACTTATCACATGGGCCTATGCTTAACGGACCTTTATACTCATCGGTTTAAGTACCCATACACACACAAATACAAACACATGCATATAAGGAGAAAAACGTCAAAGATTGCCCACGTTTCGGCATGCGTCTCACCTTCATATTGCGCAAGCTCTAGCAAAGCCGCCTCCTGGGAGTCCGAATACCATGACGGATATCTCATTGCAAAAGAAGTCTGCGGTTCTTGTTGTCGAGACATAATGAGGTGTTGACGGGCTGGTGGTTTACTTAAACGGTAGGCTTCCACTTGCGGCGTACAAATAATGATGAGGTGAAGCAACAAAAGCCCTGCCAGCAGACAAGGATGCAGTCGTGCAAGGCGGTTGCCGAGACGGCCAGATTGACTGGGTAGATCGGTTGGCAAGATTGCAATTGCGTTGTGACTCTGTTTGTTATGATGGCTCGTTGCGAAGGCCGGAGCTTTGATGACTGACGGACAGAAAGTATGAGAGACTAAAGGACCATCTTGCGATATCAAAGAATGGCTTGAACTTTTGGTAGCTGCGAAATATGCTTCTTTTTTCACAATCGAGTATTCGAGTCGTTTAGAAGGTTTGATCTCGAAAGCTGGTCTGATGATGGCCCGGAAATGCCCGGGTTCTGTTTTGCTTCTCGTTCTAGCTGTGGCCCAGAGGGCTTGTTCTCCATTTGTATCGCTGCCTATCATTTTTGTGGCCGGTGCGAGGGTCCCCTTGATAGGATGAAGGCGAGATGCAGAGTTTTGCCTAATAAAATGTGTTTTATGCTTGCTTAAGTCGGGAAGAGCAGCAGACAGACAAATCGCTAGCCAATTGGAATGCTCGGCAGGAGACTTTCCACGGGACAAGCTTCGGATATTTGGGCTATCTTCGAGCGCCATTACTGGTCTGTCCAAGGTAAGGTAAACCTGAACGGACGGAATAACTGATGATGCAATAGATAAATCAAAATTATTTATAATTAATTGGTGATGAAAGAAATTAAACGGTCGAAATCTAATTTTCCCATTGGTCAAATTCATAGTAGAGCTGATCGGAAATGGTTCATCTTTGCTTAATTGTACCTGTCTGTTAGTCTATTATAACATCCAGTTCTAATAGCTCTATTAGCATTATGATCATTGTGCTGAGATGGTGTCTTTATGTTCTGATTTGAGTTGCAGGCACGGTAATCAAGTCCGATACCCACTTGACGACAATTAATGGAGCCTATCGGAGGGTGTCTTTCGTCTCAAAGACTCACTCTTTAAACTTTCTTTATTCATTTTCCTGAATAGGCATTGGTGTTCGAGACAGAGCAATGCAAGTTTTCTCAAAAGTAAAAATTGGCATTAAACCAATTTTGAGCTTTTAATCAAAAGTAATATTTAAAAACCTAAGTTCATTTTTAATTAAATGACTTGATATTAGTTCCAATGATTTATATGGATCGACCTTGACTTTTGATGACCTGGGCGGATATCGAGGACAAGCTATTTCTCGTATTCACAAGCTATCTAGAATGCTTTTTAGACAAAGTTAGTTTGTCGATCGGCTCCCCCCACTAGGGCTAGTTATTTGCCTGGAAGGTATGTGTAAGATGGTGAGAAAACGCTGATGGTTTTATATCAAGGAGAGAATGCGGCTACTCGGGTGACTGAAAACTTAACGACTAGCCGCCCAAACGAATACACATCGCAAGATGAGCAACACCATTCGCAGAATGAAGCTTATAGTGGTATGCTTTGATTACCGACGGCTTGCATGTGACTTGAAATTTTGAGGCATTGTTAACGAGAGAAATAGAAATAAATGAGTTCATTACTCTTAAATTTGCAAAGTGAATTACAACTCTGGACAGAAGTTCCCTATTGCAGTAGAGTACACGTTTCAAATTTTGTTAGAATGAAACAAAAGATTCCAATAGTTTGCATTAGTGAAATCGTACATCCACTGAGACCATTGTTTATGCAAGTGCCTCAATCTAC